TTAGCAGAAGCTTGTATTATGTCCAGAAATACTGCTGAACAGTTTTTTTTCTATTTAAGATTTTAAGGTATATGAAGAGTCACAAGATGAATTTACTCAATAGTGGAATGGTATTTTAGAGAACCAAACTGATAATCAAAAAGTATAGAGACGTCTACAGCATTGAGGAGGCGATTAATACATATTTTGTCGAATAGTTTAGATAAAGTAAATAATAAACTGATTGTGTGGTTGGTAAAATGTGATTTCATGTGGTGATTTCCCTGGTTTGTGAATAAGGGTAATATAACAACTACTTTCCAAGAACTTGAATAGTAACCTAGACGTAAGATGGAATTTAATAAGGAAGCTATAAATGCGATCTTTTCTTCGGCAATTCTTTGATCACCTTCCCGTTTATTAAATCTTGATCTGGTGCTTTTTCAGATTTGCTTGACCTGCAATTGATTTTCATTAAAATAAAAGGTTTTATTTGTGGAAACAATTGATATGGAGAGTTCAGAAAATTCCTGATGTCTTCATCTTCAGTGAGGGAAATGGAGGAAGATGGTTTAAATATATCAGCCAAGTGAGAGGCGAAAAAATTCTATGGGTCTTCTGACTCATCCACCGTGTGATTGACTAATCGGCGGAATGTCTTGAAACGAACTGGTTGCCTTCCAGAGCGATTAATTAGAGACTGCTGTGAGAGCCAAGTTCTTAAAGTAAATTTTAAAATCTTCATTTTTGAAGTTTTTCAGGGTTCATCTTAATATTCTAATAGCTTTATTAAATTTGCTTTTATCCTCAGGTGATCTGCTATTATGCCATGTTTTACGCAGCTTTAGTTTTTCTATGATTTTTTTATAATACAATATATGTGAGATAGTGGTGGTCGAACTTATATTTCGAATTAGATGTAGAAGCTCAAATTGCAAATATTATATTGCGCGTTAATAGTTTACTACGTGGTCCATATTTTCAGTCGATTTTAATAGTAATGCTGCTACAGTAGTGGAATTTAATATCTCTCGGAAATGATTCTAATTTATAAGTCTATTCTATATGAAAATTGGAGGCTTATTTTCGATAATTATTGTTATATTATTGCTATAATAGGAGAATAATCAGAAGAAATATCGAGTGAAGAGCAAACCTATATATCGAGAAGATATATATTTAACGATAAAGAAATCAAGTAAGTCTGGGATTTTATTGACATCAGTTAATTAATAAGTAAGTTCATCTGAACTAAAATGTGTTAATCTGTTAGTTCCAATGCCTTTTGAAAGTGTTATCCTTTTGTGAAAGTGCTATTCTACAATCTAGAGCCTAGACATTCGAAAAAAAAATTAAAATCTTCTTTTTGCATACTGTGTTTAGGAGGGTAGTAAACTGTTGAGATAGTTAGTTGGCAATGCCAGTTGTATATCATGATACTTAGTGCCAGGAGATATGATCTTGTTTATATGATGCAAGCTCGTAATGTCTTAAGCTTAATTTAATAATAATCGCTGTATCATCATATGCCCTTCTACTTGGATGATTCGTGGAGTACATCTCATGACCATAGATTTGGAAATAAGATTTATCCATAAAGTGTGTCTCCGATATCAATTTTATTTGAATGTCATAATTTTTGGAAAAAAATTCCGACTCAAGTTTTCATTCAGGCCATTGGCGTTCCAAAGGACAATACGTAATATCTTCATTATTTTCTGATGGCTGACAATTTACTTAATATTACCGTTTACAATAAAATAAGGTTATTTATTTATTCAGCATGTTTTTTAATTAGTTTTGGTAATTCACTCAGATTTTCAGAAGTTTCTGAACTATTTTCTTTGTTTTCGTTATTAGTAGATAACGAACTTGGATTATTCCCTTTCATTATTTGTGCGTAGGACATAGATGGATTGATATAACGTTGTTTGTTTTCCACTGAGTTGGTCCGTAAATTTGATGGAATGTTTTGTCTTTCTCTTGAGTCCGAGTGCCGGAAACGTTTTATTAAGTAGCTCTTGATAGCAAGAACACCGTTTGTAGTTCGCAATGTGAGGGTCACTACATGTGAGATAAGTTGGTGAAGTCTCTATGGATTTCTTACATTCGACCATTGCAAATGAACCTACATATTTGGCAAACTAGTAGCAGCTATTGTAGTATTTCTGAATGTAATCACATTTTAGGCATTTTTACATTGTACTATCTCTTTCTTCTTTAAAGGCGGTTTAATTTTAACAATAGTATTCTTTAGTCGATTGATATTATAAACACATTGGTTGTTTGGTTTCTTTTTCAAATCAGTTTAAAACATAGATAATAGACTATGTATAACTCTGTGTCTAATATTACTTATATTAAACATACATTTTGTTAAAGATTGCATTTCAATTACATCATCTATGTAGACAGGATTAGGCGGAGACACTTTTAGTGGTTGATTATTTATTAGTGTATCTTTGTCCGTGCTTGAACTTAAGATAGAGTATTTGTTCACGCTTTGAAAAACTCCTTCTGATTGTAGATGTATTTTGTTTTTGCCGTCGTCTTCTCTTGGTCTTTTTTGTTGGTAGGAATAATTACACTTCTGAAAGAAGTGGCAACTTGCCATAGTAATAACACAATAGATGATAGTATATCCTGGTCAAAGATTGCGAAAGGCTTGTTTCATTTACCCCTGTCTAATTTGAAAACGGAATAAATAGTAATTCAAATTTAACGGGTGATTAACGAGTTTATTCTCGATATTTAAAACGTAAACAATATAAACACGCAGAACTCAGCTTTATATGTTTGTATACTTCGAAAGTTAAATCCTTACTAAAAGAAACATAAAATGAATATATTAAAAACTACTTTTTAACTGATCAATCTTTTATATTTCTATAAAAAAATTTTTATTTATTTCTTGATATTTAGATGATTAATAAGTATATATGTATATATATGTTCTTATTAGTTCTTCGAATGAAATAATTTTAGAAATAATTATTAACAGTAATCTTATAAATTTTTGATAAGTCTAATTAAAATTCTTATATATATATATATATATATATATATTAAATATATTGATTTATTAAGAAATTTAATTAATGAGTATATTTATGTATATATCAATTATTCAAATAAAATTATTAAAAAATAATTGTTAAAAATATCTCCAATTTTTTATAAACGTAACTACAATATATTAAAATATTATTAAGACATCATACTATTCCGAAGAGTCTAGAATAAGTTGAGTATATAAATGTTCTTAATTCATTCCTTGTAATTAAATAAATTATATTCTATTTGAGTATATTTAGAAAGAATATGCCAAGACAGATAATTTGGTAAATTATTATTTATTAGTAATATTTAAGGTACATTCACGATATCCCACAGAAAAGCTTTAAAAGTAGAGTTCCATCATAAAAGGTAAGTGATAAATGTATTTTTTAATCAAAATTATTTTAAATTTAGAGTTCGTTATTATGTTTTAAAAAAATATAATATTAAATTCATAAACAGTCCCTTCCACAACTCCCCAATACTGACTTTTGAAAAGATTCTATCATTTTTTAATGAAAAAGGTGGTTATTTTCAGTCCAACATTTTGTTTCTTAAAAGAATAATATCTTATTCATAACTACTAATAATCAAAAAAATTAAACTACATCTTTATATTCATTCAGCGTTTTCGTGATTTGGTATCAGCGTACGTCCCACGCAATTCTTCACCGATTGATATTTCCCCGCTTCCTTATAACCGCTCCACTAACTATAAGCATATCTACAAAGAATAACAAAAAAAAAACAATATAGCCTAAATTTGTGAATTTCTTAAAGTAACTGATAGAATATTACCCAAAAAATGAATTCTAACGTTTTAATTATAATCCAATAGGACAATAAGATTTCTTTGGAAATTGAAGGTTTCACCAAATGTTTAGTTTCACATCGCACGTCACGTACGATTTGATGCGTAACTTTCGTTCACGAATGAAATCGGTATCGTAACGAGCGGGTGCGCCGGATACGCCCACGGAATTCGGATATTTTTATGTGAAAAGTGAAACTAGAATAAGAAATACTTGTAAAATATAATATATATATATATATATAGGGATTGGTATCTATTTATATATTTTTAGTATTTCATTATTATTATCAAATAATACGGATACAAAAAAGATTATAAATCTGAAAAAAAGTAATCGATATTTTTTAAGTAAAAAGTATTAATTATTTATCTAATGTAATTACTTTATTGATATAAAATATATTTAAAATACTAAATACTTGAAAATCTTTCAAACTACATCAACGATCTATTGATTTTTCCAGAGAAATAAAAAGAAAAGATCGAATAAGTATGATAATTCCGAAAGAAATAGGAATTCTATAGAACTTGTTTGATTAAAGTGAATCATTATCTTATTTAGAAAAATAAGAAAGTAAGATAAAAATAGATATTGATCAATCAAAGCATTATCGAGATTTCTCACCCTTGACTTAATTAATTCGAAGATCGATGGCCTCGTCTCGAGGATAAGGACAAAGTTAACCGATAGAAGGACCAAAGTAACGAATAGGCAATGACCACGAGTCTTCAGATGTAACCTTAGCTCGAGTGGAAAGCACTGGTCGAGCAACTCGTATATAAGTAACGTCGTCATGGATCATGCATTCAGTTAGGCACTTACAATGGAAACATCGTCTATATCTAGAAGTTTTTAAGACTTCAAAACTCAAGAACAGGAGGTAGGTAACCAAAAAAGTAAGAGGAAGTATGTGAAAAATAAATGCGTGTGTGAGTGTGTATGTGTGTTGAAAATAAAAAATAAAAAATTAAACAACAGGCAAAGAAGAAAAATGGTTTCTAATTCAAATCTACAAATGAAAAGAAACAGAAAATAATGTTTTTCAATCTTTTCAAGATGATTAATACAATTTAACGGTATTAAATCCAAAAAGAAAGATAAATCACAGCAATAACGATCGTAATCAATACTTAGAGTATATTCGATAACAGTTGCGGTGAAATTTTAATCCGTTCATGGTTTTCTGCGGTCTATCTTTCATTCGACCACGTGTAAAAGAATAAGAGTTGACAATTCTCTTTCAACAGTTTCAAAATAAGTTCCTAGTTGTAAGTTTGTCACCTTAGAATCTTAAAGGATAATCAAAAAATATTGAGCAGGTAGTCCTAATTTTACATTATTAGTTTATTTCGATTTCATTCGTTCTTCTTCATAGTGTTCTTATACTATCGTATCTCATCGTGGTGAGTTGAGTTTTTATATACATATTTTATAATATTTATCTTATAGAATATTTTATATCATTTATACTATTTATTATATTATATTATCTTATATAATACTCCAAATATAGCATTTTGTTATATTAATATATTTATATAATATAATATTTTTCTTTATATTATATTTTATTAACTAAAATATTACAAAACTTATTTGCAAGGTAAGTAATTATCTAATATTATCTATTCTTATCACTCGTCTCCTTAATATTTCTAATCGTTAAAAAAAATAAATAACCATAATCAAAAAATAAAATCTTATAAATAAATATATTTAATATTTTAAAGGGTTCAATTTATTTATGTACTTTTAAAGCTATTCCTTTTACAGGTAAGGTGACCAAAGTATAAACATTGAAAAAAGTGAGCCAGTAATCACTCCATCGAACGTTTCGAGCAATGGATAACGTCATTCTTGTCCTTGTATTTGCTGGAACTTGTGCGGCTGTCCCACAATTTTTTACACAACCTGAAGCGATTTATGCTCATCCGGCAGTATTGTTGAACACAGCAATGGAAAATACTTTACCATATCATCTAAGAAATGATTTTTATAAAAATCCAAGAGTCGCTTCCAGGCTTGCAAAAGAATCATGGTTCACTAATAAAGAAATGCAGGTAGAATATGAAATTTTATTTTCTACTCTTTTATAACGTCATGAAATTTTTAAGTTACTTACTTGATATGATTTGATATACACTTAATTATAATACTATACGTATTAAAATATATTTAAACTAAATGCTGAAAATATAGCGTTACAAATTTATATTTCAGCATTTTTTAAACCACAATTGTTCAGACAACAGTTGTTTTCAAGAATGATACATTATGATATTTATTGCTTTTTATTCGACGAAAGATTTCAAGATCATTCTTACAAGGAATGTATTATAATTTTCTTTAAACGTTTATAAAACTTAATAAATTTCTATGGGTTAGTTAGAGCTACAGACCGTACATATGGTAGTATTATAAAAAATTATCTTGGTAGAGCCGTTTTCGAAAAAATTATACTAGGAAATTAAGTTTTACTAGCATTCCTATATACTATTTTTTTAAAAACATTTGTCAATAGAATTCATTAACTTAATGCGTATTGGCGAAGACTTAAAATCGATAGATTGGTGGATTGAGTCTCTTTGGATTAACTTCTTTTTTTCTTTAATTTTTATTTTATTTTTCATCTTTGTTATTTTATTTACTTTCTTTTTCTATTTTTCTACAGTATGTTATATTATTTTTATATTTTTATAGGAAATATAATGGCAAATATGGTGCACCTTTATTTCAGAACGTTTCAAGTTTCTTCTATTTACAAATGTTCCTATTTTATTGGTAAATTATTATAAAATTCTTTATTACGCAAATAATATAATTAATAATTATGAATTACATAAAATATAATAATTTTAGAATGTAATATTTTTATATACCTGGGTCGATACATATCTTTGGATATTTATTAGAAAAACATACAAAATATAAATTCAATCGACACATTCTGCATTTTATGAATCAAATACATTTTATGAAGAAATATAAAAAAACGCGTGGTAATAATTTACTAGTGTTTTTGAACGGAATTTTTCAGCTGCTTCTAATGTATTCTCCAATGTTGTCTAATTCTTTCTCTCTGACATACCTTGTAATCATTCTCTATGTAAAATATTATAGAATATACAATTGTTATATATATACGTAATTTTTTAACACTATCACTTCACGTAACTCTATTTAATCTACGTAAAAGAAAAAGTAACTTTTGTCTGAAACATCGTTCCATCTCGTTATCAGATAAAAAATAAAATAATTACAAAGTATTAAATTATATAAAAACAATAAGAGATGAAAAAGAAGCGTTTCATTTCTAAACAGAATTATTATCATGTGAAAATTATAAAATGAATAAAAACTTGTTATATCGTTCGATATTAATTATTATTTATTTGCAGGTAATTGATCGCGAGACGGACAAAATACCACGAGAAAAAATATTCGATGTTTTGCATAATGCTGGTCTTACTCGTAAATAATAATCTCTTAAATATCGCATTGAAATTTTTCTAACGTTATAATTCGATAAATAACAATTTCATATCGTAAGTAAAACAGTATACAAAATACTCGTTGGATACATATAAATGAACTAATATATGATATATACCATTTGTAATATATCAGATATGTTCATTTAAATTTTTTTTTATAGATTCGTTTATAGTGTTCGTATCATTAGTTATTTTGTATAAAAGTTAAGATCTATTAACCCATTTGCATCACACTTCTCAATACGCTTCCACCTAGCGTTATTAATCTGGCTTCAGACGTTCAATTGAAAACCGGCCCTTATCACTACGCATTGTTGTACTACGAGAGAATATCGTTGAAAGCGTGTTATTCCGCAACTGATAATAGGTGGCAATCATTGTATGTGGATTATTCTGCTTCTGGATGCAAATGGGTTAAACAAATATAATGTTCCTGCAAAGGCTGTGAAGCAGATGCATAATTCTAATAAATGAAATAATAAATAAATAAACTTCAAAAATATATAATTATATATTTTAAACCTTTATTGTGATCTTTTATGAACAATTAATGTATTAACAATTATTCGATAAAACTTAATCTTTCTTTAATTAATATTTCTTATAATGCTCGTTTATTATCTGAACACATGTATAAAAATATAAAATTATAATTAACAAATATAATAAATTCATTTATTTATAAATATATGTTAAAATAGATTAAATATACTTAATTACGGAATTAAAAATTAAAAGGAAGTAAATTAAAGAAAAAAGAAATATAAAAATAATACCATAGAAATTAGGATTAGGAAGTATTATGGAGACGATATTCTAAAATTTCACCCTCTAATTCTACATATCTTTGATGAAAATTTTGATAACTCGGCAATTCTTTAATTACATTGTAATTACTTGCTATAAATCTTTTAGCATCTAAAAATAACTCGTACGCTTCAACTCTATGAGCTAGAATATACATATCAATTGAATTATTTATATTAATTTCCATTTGTAATATCTTAGCACAATTTTCTACCAAATCATCAATGTGCAATTGATGAGCAGGCATTATTAGTTCATATGCAAGATTATTTATACATGATTCATCTCCTGTATATATGTAAGTTAATATTTTTTCAAATGCATCTGACGTGATACCATCTAAATCTATTCTTTTTTTATCTTCTTTCTTGGCTTTAATTATTAATGACTTAAGATAAGGATACTGAGACAATATCGGAGAATGTACTTTAAATTCTTTACTTTGAACATAAATAGACATGTCACTGAATTTGCCAGTTCGAAATACCTCATTTAAATAATTGATCAAACTACTTTCCCATGATAGTGGAGGGCTAGATTCATCAGAAGTAATTGCATAATCGGATTTATCTAACTTTACATTATAAATTAATTTACATGCCAAATTTAATTCTTTTTCACAATTTTTACAAATACTAAACTCTCGTTTTTCGCATTCTCGATTAATATTTATTGACGTTTCTGCTATGGTTAGTATCTCCACATCTTCTCTAATCTTGTATTCTATATCTATAACTAAATTTTCTGGTAAAGGTAGAAAAAATATTAAATAAACTTCGACATTTTTACAAGAATTTTTAAAACACTTTGAACATTCTTGAAATTGCCTATCACAATCAATGCATATTTTATAATTTATAGTTGAACCTTTATACCTTTCTATAAATAATTTTGATGTTAATTTTTCTGATAAGTTAAAAAAATATTCAGTAGAAGTTACATTCCATACATGAGATACGGAAGTTTTTTCCGGTACTGCAGGTTCAACATCCATCGTTTATATCAATTTAATGTTCTATTTAATATTATACATATAATACTTAGTAATAAACTGTCTATTATGTAAATAAATCTATAAGAAGAATGAATAAATTTTTAAAATATTATCTTTCCTAACTTTTTATATTCTTATTAAATAATAATAATTAAAGAAATTCAACTCACACAAAGTAATAATAGGATTTAAAATTTGAATCTTTTCAAACGACAAAGTTCTTTGTTAATATATATAATTATATATATTTATATATTAATACCTCATATAGCACATTCATTTCTTTGACAAAATTCTATATCCTTTTGGAATACTTACTCTAATATCGAAAATAACTTCAATTTTGTAAGGATTTCAGCACTAACGATATAAGTTTATACTTTATTTTTACCGACTTCTTACTTTCACTGTAATAGACTCTCTAATGTTCTTTTATATTCGTTAAGTTGCTACGTCACAATATTATTGTTTGTATACAAATCGAAACACTTATTTGAAACGTTGATAAAGTAAATATATTCAAGTTAATTCTCTTGTATGAAAGTTGTCGCGCTCTTAATACTGCGCATGCGCTCCTGTGTTGATTTTTAGATACAAAATAATGGCCGCTTTCGCTCGTGAATACACTGCTAACGATGATCTGCTTTCTCATTGGCTGATTAAATACTAAAAATTATTAATATATTAAAACAACCTCGATTTAAATAAATGATGGTGTACAAATTGTTATTCGTGGCGTACGATCCATTTGGAATTTCGAAAACTTGATGACCTATTTTTTTTTTTTTTTTTAGTCAAGAAATTTTGGAAAGGTGCACCCCTACCCCAACCRCCACTCCCACCACCACCACTCCAACCGCCGCCCCTACCACCATGGGAAACGACCGTTTTTATCGTTTTCATGATAGGGTTTGGGAACTTGATGACTAAAAAAAAAAAGGTCATCAACTTGAAAAAGTTGGAACTTGGACACTTTTTCCAACTTCTTGAAAATTTTGTCGGAGATTGTTGGATTTTTGTCGGATTTCAAATTTTCCCGGGACGTACGATAATTTTCTGCCGCGTACGATAATTTTACGCCCCTGTGTCGATCAGACGAACTAAAGTCTCTGGGATCACTGCCTCAATGTTTATTTTTGACAGGATAAGAAAACAAAAATTTCAAAGTGTATATTGGAAATAAAATAACTATCACTGTAATTAATGTATATCTATTCGAATATACGTTTACTGTTCTTACTGGTAAAATGAGCTCCAAAACGTATTATAACTTTATATTGGAAAGAATTCATTCTCCAGGCCTTATTATATTAGATAAACCAGGAAAAACGGTATGAGTATTTACTAATTACAATTCTTATCATTGTTTTGATAATATCAATATTTTCTTTTATATAGGGTCTAAAATTTTTTCATTCAAATATTGTAAGCGTATTCTACACTAAAAAATAAGAAAAAATGCTATATAAATATGTCATTTAAAGCTTAATTCAAAAGTTATAACATAAATAGTAAAACTGTCTAAATGTGCTGCTCAAAGATGATGTTTAATGGCTTCGCGTATGTTGTTTACTATCTTGGAGCGATTTAACTTATTCTTCTGCGCACAATAGCTTTACTGCTTAAATCACCTAACTGCAGCCTACTAGATTTTATTTGTAAAAAAAAAACAAACAAAAAGTTTATGCAATTGAGATAGCTAAACTTGATTTTTGAATATAGAATACGCTCACGTTTGTACGAAAAAATCTCAGACACTCTGTTTATATACTTACTATTATTATTAATGATCATTATATTACTTAATCTTCCAATTATTTTTCAGTATACATGTGGCAGAGGAAAAGAAAATCAAATATTATGTCTTAGCCTTATGGTATCCCGTAAGCACTGTAGTTTTTTTCGTAATGATAATGAAATATATGTTATAGATTTGGAAAGCTCCAATGGAGTATTTGTCAATGATGTTAAACAACAAGCAAGACATATGGTTAAATTAAATGAAAATGATATTATTGGAATTGGTTGTCCAAATTCCAATGATAAAAGTGAGAATATGTTTATTTATAAATTACGTTTCATTAGTGATAACAACGAATTAGCATATCAGAGCCCTATTAAATCACCAAAGGAATCTCCATACGAAGATATAATAATAGAAAATATTGATGAAAGTCATTATTCATCGTTTAAAGACAATGTAAATAATAAAAATAGTTTAGTTTCATCGAATGATATATTAGAACTTCCAAAAGTTATAAACAAGATTTGTCAAATAGAAACGTCTAACAAGGAATTTTGTAATGGAACCAGCAAAATTAATTCCTATCCAGAAATTGCATTGTTAAATATTTGTACAGAAAATAATACTATAAAACAAAATACTAAACATTTGGATGCTAATTATAATAGTAAATGTCAAAAGAAAAATGATACCAATGAACATAAAAACTTATCGGAAATAAAGAGTGCACCAGAAACGATAAAGCAGGAAGATTCTTTAAAAAAAAAAACAAATTATCTTAAATCTGTAGAACAAAACGATGTATTATGTATTGATTTACCGATTAGTGTTAATATGGAAAGAGTACAGCTAAGTCATGACAATAAAATTATGTCTGAAAATATTCCTAAGATAAGATCCCATGAAACTAATTTAGTACATGTAAACCATAGCTATGATACAAATATACATACGGATGCTAGTAAAAATATTAAAATATCATCACGACAACAGGATTATTCTGAAACTGTAACAAAACTTGAAAATGTGGTACATGACAATTCAAAGGAATATAATGAGCCTATAATGACTAAAAATAAATTAAACAAGCTAAATAATAAATCTATAAATATTATACATAATGATGATTATTTTATTAAAATGGAAGAAGAAATAATAATAACTGATGATGATGATGATGATGATGATGATGATGATGATGATGATGATGATGGTCAAGAAAAAGAAGAAATACAAAATAATATAAATAATTCTAAGAGTTATACTGAATCAACAATTAAATTAAAGCAAGTCAAGCAAGAGCCAAAATTAAAATTTTCTGAAGTTGATATAGTTAATTTAAGTGACGATGAAGATAATGTATTTCCTTGCTCTCAATTGTTTGATTCTAATATAGATTTAAATTCTGAAGTAAAGAAAGAAATGAAACGAGAAAATAATGATAATCACGATGAGGATATCAACAGGATTGATGATACAGAAATAATTATTTCATTATCTGACAGTGAAGATGAAGACAACAAATGGTTAGATAGACTATCTCGAAGTCAATTGCTTAATGATACAATTTCAAGTAACAATGAAATTAATCGATCAATAGAAACTATGAAAAATGAACCTCTGGATACAAATATAATTGATAAAGATATTCAAAAGATTAAAAAAATATTCAATATAAATGATTCTTCAAATAAACTCAGTGCCAATATTAAAGCCGAAAAAGACAATAGAACAGAAGAAGATAAAAAAGGTACGAATAAAAATATTAAAGACAAAGATAAAAAGATTAAACAATATAAAAGTAAAAATAAATTACATGCTACAAAAAAAGATGCTCCTGATATATCTTGTAATGTTAGAAGATCGGAGGTAGATCACGGTGGTACTTCTAATAAAGAACAAGAAGATGTTAATAATAAAAGTTCTCATTCTCTTAAGGAAAAACAAAACGTAATCAATAATAGCACCAATAATAATGTACTTAAGCATAGTCTGCTTTCCAAGGAAAAAATAACAATAGCAAGAAAAAGACTACAAATAATAGATCCCCCTCATATGCCTGTGAAAAAAAAAAGACAAATAATTAACGATATTAACACGACGAAAATTGTAGAAGAAAAGCAACATGATAATTTGCATGTAAAAAAAAAGAAGGAAAGTAGAACACTTTCTTCTCAGAAATCGAATTTTCTGCAATGTAATAAAAAACTCCTCCAAACACCTCTTTCAAAAGAAGAGAAAAAGAAGATTGCAGAAAATAGAAAAAACAAGTTAAGAAAGATTGCTGTGGAAGATAAAAAAGAAACTAATATTAAACCATTAAAAAATCCTATTTCAAAACCAATAGCAAAAGTATCACTAAAAACGCGATCAGATTTTCTAATTGACGACATCCAATCAAATACTGGAAATACAATTAACAAATCAACAAAACGAAAATGTCCAGAAAACAAACAATATGCAAATAATAGTAATTTAAGGAAAAATAATAATACCTTACCTTCAATATTTAGTTTTAAAATAAAAAAAATAACAACTTCAAATGTTAACGATATAAATAATGCTCAATTAAATAAGATCAATGAGGCTACTGAGAAGAATAAAAACATAGAGTCTACTGCTATCAATAACTTAAAAGATGAGTCAAATAAAAACATTGTCAGAATACAAAAAGAAAATTGTTCTCCTAATAGGAGAGAAACCACTCAATTAAAAAAAAAAATGAAAAGTGTTTCTTTCAAAACTATCCCTGAAATTCATGAATATGAAATCGAATCATCAAACATTTTAAAAAAACTTGTAGGTAAAGATGCCCCGATACCTGTTGATAAATTGTCTTCTAAAAAATTAGGCGATACTAATTATTCTAAGTTAGAAACATTTTTTTTACGTATCTTCTTCTGGAATCCTATTTGGCTTGAAGTAAGTTTAACTTTATTAAATAAAATCAAGACTGTTGACTTACTTTTTGTTATTTACAGGAACAGCGACGTCTTAATCGAAGACCACCTATTCTTAAAGACAATGAAATACATCCTACGCTAACTTATTATAAATCTTACAATGACTATTATAAGATTGCTGAACCTCTGTTATTATTAGAAATTTGGTCTGGCATTACTAAAGAGTTTGAGGAGATGGAAGGAAACTCAATGTATGTATATCTGAAAAGTTAAATTAAAATTATTTACTAAAATATAAACAAATATATTTATATTCAATAATTTGCAGACGACCTACCGTGATGTGTTCTACAATTGAAAAGTCTCTTAAAAGCACTCATATACCATCTGTAAATTTATGTTTATCAACTTTATCGGTACAAGTATTAATCACTAAAGAACATTTTTTAAGAAATGCTTACCCTAATTATGGAGATTTGGTAGTTTTTGAATATGTTAGAAATGAAAAAGGAAAACATATGTTTCACAAAGTATTTGCTTATGTTACAAATATGAATAATATTATCATAACACCATTTACAGAATATAACAAAGATTTAGGTTAATTTATTATTATTTCTTATTTTGTGATTACATTACTTCTTATACTATTTTTTATATAACTAATATTTTTTACAGAAAATTATGTAAAAAATCCATATGCATTATTAACGTATACTCTTATGACAAGAAACGTTGCTGATAATTTTGTAGTAAAACGAATTCAAAGAATAAGAACTGTGACATATCTACGCTCAAATATAAGAATGATTCAAGCAATACAATATCTTCCACAATCTCCGCTTATGAATTTAATTTTATATCCACTGATTGAAGCATTTCGATTACCTGAGGTAGACATCCATGTGAGCAAATCTTTCATAAAGGTACAGTTATCAAAAACACATGGTACATATGAATTGTACACGTTATCTAATTAAAATAAATATTATAAAAACAGGATACATTAAATACAAAACAATTAGAAGCTGTTTGCAAAGTAACAAACGCTGTATTTCAAAAGGAACCTAAAATTTGTTTAATTCAAGGACCACCAGGTATATAAATATTAACAAATTTGCAAATTCTATAATTTTACATTAATCTCTGTAGTCAACGGCCTCGCTTCGAAAAAACTAATTCCCATATCAACACTAAAGTTTTAAGTAACAATGGGCACGGTTAGTATTTGTATGGGTGACCACTTCGGAACGCCGTGTGCTTTTGACTTCAGAGAGGCAATAAAGTGATCTTTATAGAAAGGAGTGGGATGTGTAGAAAGGTCTAAAAAAAGTTCCTGAAACCCATAAAAAGGAAAATAATAACGCACATACACAATATTAATCTCTTTGTATTATATATTACAGGAACAGGAAAATCAAGAGTTATTATAAACATTATAACAAAAATATTGTATGGTAATAATGGATATCAAAACAATAAATCTCCTTTACGAATTCTCGTATGTGCTCCATCCAATGCAGCTATTGATGAAATTGTATTAAGACTTCTTGCTATTAGAGCTACAATTAAAGGTAAGATCATTTTTGTCTATACTTTTAATGTAAAATATCATAAGCTGTGAATTAGAAGAAAACAACATAATTTATTATTTTTATTATATTACTTAGAAAAACGTTTTAAAATGGTTCGTATTGGTAGACCTGAAGTTATGCATACAACTGTAAAAGATATTTCTTTAACTGAATTAGGAAAAAGAGATGTTAAAAGAATGACTGCCAATTATTCTTCCAAAAATCTTCCAATTGACAGTTTTGATGAAGAGGTATTATCTAATTTAACTTAATCTTATTGTAATTAATATTTATTAACTCTACATGAAACAATTTTAATTTAATAATTATTACTATAAAATTTAATAATTTTTTAGAAAAAACTTTTGGAAGCACGCATCAATGCATTAAAATGTGAAATAACATATTCACAGAAAATAGATGAAACTTATAGGCAACATCTTAAATTGAAATTATTAGATATGAATGCGAAATATGAATTATTAAAAAATCATAAATCAGTAAGTATATAAATTTAGTATATAAATATTTTTAAAAGTATTGAATACATTTATTATTTTCAACTAATAAAAATTGTGCAGATGGATGATATGAGTACAAATGAATTGACAAATTTCCGACGTGTCGCAGAACGTAGGATTCTTGAAGGTGCAGATATAATAACGTGCACACTTTCTTCATGCTATACTAATCAAATGGAATCCATTTTCGGGTAAGATTAAAAAATAGAAAAGTAAAGTTATGAAAACAGATATACCCTATTTTGGGAATTTTTATTGTTGTTGATGACGTTTTATATTAATGCGTAATTATTTTTGATCATAAATAGTTAATATTTATAACATTTCTGTCGTTTATTTACTTGAAAAAAATCGCATAAATTTATAAGTTAACCTAATATATAATGGCTCTTAAATTATTTGTTTTCTTTTCTATTAGTGGAAATAGGGAGAAAATATCAGTCTGTATAGTGGACGAGGCTACTCAATGCTGTGAAGCAGAAAATTTAATCCCTTTATTACTAGGTGTAAATAAATTAATTCTAGTTGGAGATCCTAATCAATTACCGGCAACCATAATAAGTCAAGTATAATATTTTATTTAATCTTATATATAATTATTAATATTCTTTGTGTTCAAATTTAATTAATACAATTATTTTTAATTATTTGTTTAGCAAGCAAAGAAATATGGATTAGATCAATCACTGTTCTTTCGTATACAAAATGCATTTCAAAGAATGAAAGATAATCCAATAATAATGTTAAACACACAATATCGTATGGCATATGCTATTTCTTACTGGCCAAATAAGTTCTTTTACGGAGGAAAATTAAAGAATGATATTTCAAAAGAACAAAAATTTCCATTTCACAATTATAGAATTTTTAATATTAGTTCTAATCAAAATGATGATAAATTTTCTAATACAAATGAAGCTGAGTTTGTATCTAATTTAATTTTATGTATGATGGTTAATTTCAACTTTGAAAAATGGGAATCCAATATTTCAATTGGTGTATTGACTCCATACAATAATCAAAAACGTTTAATATTGGAAAAGTTCAATGGAAAGTAAGTTCTAAGCAGATCATTTCCCCCTAACTTTTACATTCATATTATTTATTTTTATATTATACTATTTTCGTATCCATTTTTTTATACAGGATATTAACTGTACCTGATAGTATACAAAAAAGATTTACCATAGAAATAAACACAATTGATCGTTTTCAAGGACAAGAACGTGATATTATATTAATGTCATGTGTAAGAAGTAATGGTATTGGATTTTTGTCAGATCCCCAAAGATTATGTGTAGCATTAACTAGAGCTAGACATTGTTTAGTATTATGCGGTAATTTTACTACATTTATGGTACGTCTCTTAATCTTTTAAAAAAATTTTTTAAACATTTCCTTATCGCTATTTATATTTATTTAATATTACTTACAGCGGGATGCAATGTGGAATGCATTGATATCTGATTCTAAATTACGTAAAGTTTATTATAATATCGATGTTAATGCAAATCTGTATGAGATAAACAAACACATCGATAGACAAACAATTATTTAAAAGTACTTTTTTTTTGGCTTGTATAATACACAAGCTGTAAAAGTATTTTATTTTATTTTATTTTATTTTATTTTATTTTATTTTATTTTATTTTATTTTATTAAATTAATGTACATGATGTAAATGTAGATCTTTCTTGTTTCCTACATAATCATTAATTGAATTGTTTTGAATAATGTAAAGAGTAATGGATTACTTATTTAGTTTTTTTTTTACGAAGTATTGTATAAATATTCATGCTTATATGAATAAATATTTCCATTTATATAATTATTATCGTCTATTTTCTCTATCATACCTATTCTAACATATCAATAATATTTGGTTGGGGAGGAGGACGGGAGAGGAGTGGAAGAGAGGATCAAGGAAATTTTGGATGAGAGTGGAATGGGGGAGGAGTGGATGAAGAGGATTGGGAGTATGAGAGAGAAGAAGGAGAGACAAGGAGGGGAATAAGGGAGGAAGAAGTGGAGGTTTGGAACGGGTGAAGGGGGAAGGGAGGAAGAGGAAGTGAGGGAGAGGGTAGTGTTAAGATAGGTTAAGGAGATAATTGTTAAAGGAGTGTAACCCTTCGGGGACGCAGTAAATATTATCTATCTATCTATCTATCATATCAATAATATTTGAGGATACTTTTTCCTTTAAACTTATTCTATTTTTATTATAATTTACTTATTTTATTTAGTAAATCACTTCTATTCATACTTATAAAATTTATGATTAAGTTATTTTCAATTATTACTTATCACTGTACGCACCACGGAGCCTAGATAACAGGAGAGCGAACGCAATGTATTAGAAATGTTCGAAAATGACGGGACAGATATTTTGCCACTAGAGCGCGTTAGTGTGGCTAATATCAGGTTTCTAAAACCTTGTTTATTGTTGCGGGAATGTAACAACTGTACTCACGTGTTAGTCAAAATAAATTAACTAAATCTTATAATTAACGTTAAAAATAGCAATGAGAACAAATTTTTTATTATTTTATAATTATTTCCAAGATATTATCGTCAACTTGTTGTGTAAATCTATTCAATTTCATCTTACCTAGTCGCAATTGAGTACAGGATGGAAAACTAAATTTAAAAAGTCCAATTAAAAATAAATTGTAATTTATTATCGTAAATTGCACTTTTTACAAGACTAGAAATTTCTATAGCATAAGTAGAGTTAAAAAACATTTGCATCATTGCATTTTTTTATATTAGTAATTAATAACTATCAATTAAGGTTATAATATCTGTGGTACAGTGAATAAAGACGTATTTCTCTGATTTAATTTAGCATTCTTATTACGATCCTTGACTCGTCCACTTGTACGCCCATGAACAATACATTTATTTACCATTTTTAAATAAATATTATTTTTTATAAATTAAAAAAACAACACAATTGCTAATGATGTAGTATTGTCAACAATTGTCAATGAAAAAGATGACGTTATAAACTTGACATTAGCGAACATAACGAAACCTAGCGGCGTATTTCCGAAAATGATCTTTCCTTTTCTTTCCAATCGCGTTTGCTAGTTATTTTCGTATGTCGATCACCCTCCTGGTATCTAGGCTCCGTGGTCCCGAGTCTTTTCGCCAAAAAAATCAATGAAGTTTACCTATAGCAATAGTATGGAGCAATAAGGACCGTGCGTCTAGGGATCCACTTTTACGCCAACTAGTGGCAAGTATCCAAAGCAGTTGACATCATGTATTTAACGTAAACATATGTGATTTACTTTAAAATAATTAGAAATAAAATATATTTAATTTTTTTTAATAATGCCAACTTCGAGAAAAAATTGTTGTGTTCTTGGATGTAATAATATATCACGTCGAGAACGTGGATTCGGTGTGGAAGTGAAATTTTATAAATTTCCAGAGAGCGTGTTAGGAGCCTCATGGAAAGTAGTAAAACGTAAACAGTGGATGAATGCAGTGAAAAATTACGTGTAAGTACAATATTAATTAAAATTTTAAAAAATGAACTGTAACATTCAGTAAAATTATTACATTTAAATGTGACGTATGTAAAAATTGATCATTTTGTTGATGAAATTTCAAATATTTGTGGCATTTATCTTATAATTATGACTTAACCTTTTAATTCTTTTCTTTGATTTCAGAAAAAATCCAAAAGACTGGGTACCAAATAAATATACAAGGATTTGTAGTACCYTTTTTGTAAATAATGAAAAATCAGAGCATCCGTTACATCCATCTTATGTTCCTTCGATTTTTCCTGGTCGTGAAAATATAAAAAGAAACATTCAATCSTTAGAATGTTTCCAACGAGTCAGAAATCGTGAAAGAAACATAGTCCACATCAATAAATGTATTGTGAGTGAAAAAAATAGAAATAACATAAACATTGAAAATACGATAGATACAGTAATGGAGCAAGATGATGAAGAACATGCAAGTAGTGTTGAAGAACATCAGATTGATATTCATGTTGAAACTGTTACGGTGAAGCCTATGCAACGGAGCATAAGTTGTCAAACAGAGATAGTCACAAACGGAGCTTATGAATATTTGACATATTTTTTTTGTAATCTCAACTATCATAACGATTTAAGCACGGCCACAGTACAGGTAAATATTCCAATAAAGAAAACACAAAATAAAATTTGTGAAGCTAAAATACCAATTGTAAGAAATGTTCAAGATTCGAGTTGTGATCCATTAAATATAGATCTTAATAAATCTTGTCATGACAGTTCTAATGTTATTCGTTTTTTCCACAACACCGTACACATACTTTGATTTGAATAATTTGTTGCCTTTCTCATCATTTTGGCCATGTATAATATTATTAACTACAGGTTGAAATCCATATTTTATTTTTTCCATTGTTTTAACTTTTTTTAATGCTATTAAATTTTTGTTTGGATCATACTATGTTCACCAATAAACAGTGATTCCAGAAACTTGCTTGTCTGATCGACACAGTGTCGTAAAATTATCGGGTTCTCATAAAAATTATCGTACACACAGAAAAATCAGATCCGATTTTGAAAATTCCAGATTTTCCAGATTTTAGGATTTTAGGATTTAGTGCGCTCCAGTGCGCTCCAGTGCGCTCCAGTGCGCTGCAACCGAATCGCGTAACAAAAACAAAATCAAGACATATCGAAAATTATATTTAAATATCAAATAATCGTAAATTATCGTACAAGTTGGATTTTGGATCGTACAAGGCTTCAAATTATGTGACGTATACGATAATTATCGCACGAATGGGATCACTGCCAATAAAACACAAGAGAGCGCTCACTCCGACAGTAGTGCTGTCTCTATGTTCTTTTATTACTATACCCCCTAGATCTCCATATTGCAAACGTGGGTATACCCCACAAAGTTTTATTTTTGACCACACTGCTTATGGAATTATCGATTAAAGTTAATCGAAATAAATTGAAATAGCCAACCTAGTGTCTTCCAGTTTTTTTTTAATATTATTAAAATAATATAAATGCATTTATAAAATTAAAATTCATTGCATGAAATATACATATTTTTAATCTCTGTCGCATAGTCCATAACTTAGTTACTTTTTTCATCCTTGCTATCTGAGTAACGTGATTGGTTTATTCCGTTATAAAAAATATACATGCTCGTATCGATTGGATGTTTCAAATAGTACCATAGAAAATAACCAATAGCTGTAAATATTTAAAATTAAATAATCAACAGCTTAGAATTCGTTCTTTTTAATGAGAATCACCCGACAGTTACGTGTAGACTGTTATTCAATGTTATCTATTGGTTAATGATTGTAATTGTGCATAAAACATCAGTTTGGGATAAATTAAGAAATATTATGTTATTATAGTTTTATAGTGATATTCATTGAAATGCTATTTTAACGATGAAAAATGTTACGGATTCATTTTTCTAATTAACAACAATTAGTAAAAGTTGGAATTTTGACGTCGTGGTGCGTGTCATGATTTTGCTCTTGTAAACATTACTCTGAGAGGCTCAGAAAAATATTTCCTTTTTTATATATATATATAAAATATATACAGTATATATATACATATATTACACATCAGGGAAATAGTCAAGTTTTGTTGACGTTTTTTCAATCGATAGTAGATTTGGAAATTCTATGAAAACTTGTGAGATATTATTATAAAACTGTATAACATGTAAAGTGTGTGTTTGCTATATCTTTGGTGTTTGGTAAGGTTTACGATCTGCCATTAAAATTTTTCTACGAACTAGACGAAAATATAATCTTGCTATAATTTAATAATAATTTCATTGATTTAAATTTATTACTATTACGTGAAAGATTTGGTCACATTCTTTAATAATATATTTTTTATTACCTAACTCTAGAGTATCCATGTGTTATTTTACGCGCCATAGATTGATTACAATCGAAACTTCAATGTAAGAGACTCGTGAACAGATTTTAATAATTTAAGAAGTATTTATATATATATATATATATATATATATATA